CACACACACACACACACACACACACACACACACACACACACACACACACACACACACACACACGACATGGTACCCATCTGCGACATGAACGGGCATCTGAGCCATACAAAAGACGCGCATTTTGTCATGCATAGGCCTATAAGGATATATATTGCAGCTTAGGATATATCGTACTGCAGTACCGTAGAATTCATAGCAGTTTATAATTACTGAGAAATATTTTGCATTTTTGTAAGCAGAGGTTTATAATTATGCAAAAATTGCAGAGGGGAACTGTTTTATTCCGTAACGAGATGTGACATTTTTGCATTTCGGTTTGAAAGCGAAGGGGGGAGTTTCTTGTTGTTTTATTTTGAAAAAGGAGAAATATCTGCGGTTGGTGTTTTATGAACTAGCACCTGGGTGTTTGTGCATGATCATCGTACATATATAAATATTATGATAAAGTAGTCTGTGATCTACTGCCAACGCGTGTTGCAATGCTGACCCACGGCTATAAGAAACGACGTAATGGTGACGAATGTGCCTATCTTCAATGACACGTAGCTTGGATTCGCATTGCGTAGTCTCGTATTCTATATTGCTGTCTGTCACCCGCGTATTGTCATTGTCATGCACATACTGGTGGTCGCTATAGTGAGCTACGCACGACAATTCACAGGTATACTCAGCGACCTTGTGTTAGGATATACCTTCTCATATTCCCCGCATGTTGCGCTGACGGCGAGGCAAGGACTGCGCTGAATTTGCCTGTATGCGTCATTTTGGACGTACGACACTACGTTGGTCGTGTTTGACGTAGGTCACTGGATGTAGGAGCGAGGAAGGTGTGGACTGCGTTTAACAATATCCAGTCCTCGTTGGCGTATGGGTAGGATATTAAAAAGCAAAAGAACAAGGAGAAGAAAAGGAAGAAGTAGTAGTAGTGGTAGAAAAATATGACGAAATGGGGAGGAATAGAACGGGGAAGCGGAGAAAAGGACGAAGAGGAGAGAAGGAGGTAGGGCGGAATAGAGTAAGGAGGGGAGAAGGTAGAGAGGAAGAGAGTAAGGAGGGGAGAAGGTAGAGAGGAAGAGAGTAAGGAGGGGAGAAGGTAGAGAGGAAGAGAGTAAGGAGGGGAGAAGGTAGAGAGGAAGAGAGTAAGGAGGAGTAGTGTATAAGCTAAGCTACGTCAGAGTGTCTTTATAGGTGACCACACCTGGTTAACATGATAGCTACCATAACCAACGCCTCTGTACCGCGGTTGAAAACACATTCTCTCTTACTACCGTGCGCATACACAATGTTGCTACGTGCTATCAGCTATTTAGCCGCTAGACGGTCACGAGAATAGACAAATCCCGAAGAAAAGTAATCGATACTGGCATCGAATCTGATCTTGTATTGACATATAGATAGATAGTGTACCAGGAAGCGTTAAGTTTGCGCAAATCCCTATAATGAAACAGCAGCCATAAAGTTTTTAAGGAATCTAGCAGTTTTCGCATGTAGGGTATCTATAATAACTGGGTCGGGGATCTATGTGCGTACATGCGGAGCGTGTGTGTGTGTGTGTGTGTGTGTGTGATGTTCTTACATTGTAGTATTCCTGCTGTCACGTACAGGCATCTAGGTTAAGCTGTGTGCGTCATCCTTTGATGGCGAGCCGTTATACTTTCTTCGACCGTGGCAGCATTTGATATTCTGTAAATAGAACAAATAAAATCGTTTACTGTACTTCGTCGGTATTCCTCTGTTCTTCTGTGCTGTTGTTTCTTGTACTCCGTTCGTGTTTTTGATATACTGTCATATATTATCAAACACAAAACGAGATCATAGCTGGCTTTGCAGTTTTAAACATCTTTGCGTTTCGTTCAAAAACGTCTACATTATCTATAGTTGCTCGATAAAAGCAAAACGTGTAAATATACAGTATAACCACATTAGTGCTATATAACATATATTTATTATCATTAGTCATTTATTAAACAAAATCATTTATCGTTGATGAATTATTAAATTAAACTTAATAATTGAAAACACTTACACGTCTTAGTTCAGACCTAATAGCTTACCTCATCTTTGATTGTGGTCAGGATTAAAGCTATTTACACATCTGTCGCTTGCCATCTATTTCTCATCTATTTAGTCTTATGATTCCTTTTTTTAAATAGATTTTCCCACCTTCATGCGTTCCAGTTATCTAATTTCGAACACCGACAACTGTTTCCCTGACATTTACTCACCCGACATTTGTTCATCACGTTAACGGTAAAAAAGAAAAAGCTCACCATGGTTTTAAAACCTTAATTTTGAAGACGTATATGCAAATCGTAAGCTCACAATAATCACAGCACTTATTTCGATGCACCCTATTTTCGCAATCCTGCTTTTTAAATATATTGCACATATACACAATATATGCTATACATAGGTAGGTACCCAGTAGGTAGCGAATGGAGTCGTCTTTTGTTGGAATTATGATTTCCATATGGAGAGAAGGTACAACTGAGTAGGGATATATAATATATTCGTATCACACGATCTCACGTACACAATGTGAAGAATCCCTACCTTGTAGGGCATTCACGATAGATTCTTGTTGGCCATAGTCACCTTACAAAATATACATGCAGTAATTCAAACATATATCTGTTTGTTAGCCACGCATACTACAAAATTACTGCGTTACTACGCATACGCGAAGCCATGACCCGTTTTGGGAGCTAGTTTTTCCGAATATTTCTCGTTCCCTGCTCTTCCATCACCTGCACCCCTCTCTTTTGCTGCCGCGGCTGCTGCTGCTGCTGCTGCTCCTCCTCCATCTGTCACTACCGCTGAGAGGGTCTATGTTCCCCGGGGTACTGCCGGAACGTACCCTGGTACTATCTAATATGCCGGACCGTACCTCGCCTGCTCCACTAACGAGTCTAGGGAGTCGCCTACGCCTACTCCCTAACCCTAACCCTAAACCTAACCCTAACCCTAATCCTAACCCTAACCCTAACCATATCAGATAGTTACCAGGGTACGTTCCGGTATACCGGACCGTACCCAGGGTACGTTCCGGCAGTATCCTGGGGGACATAGACCCTATGAGCGTCACGACCACTGTGACTGCAGTCACAACTAGCGTATCTTCACATACGAAAGGAGAAATAATAATTTCAACAGTGCGTAGTGATCACAACACCTAGATTAATCGCACATAAATATAATAATGTTAAATGCTTGACATTAACTAATAACGTACAGCTATGCCGTTAGTTTACGGGAGGTTTTGCGAACAACATAATTTCACATCGGATCACATCACTAATATCTCATAATATAACACGAGTAAGCAATGCCTCATGATTTGTATTAATTCAATTCAATTTTAATTTAATCACTTTATTTACATTTATGGCAATTAATTACATTTTGACGGTATTATATCGGTTAAACAGATTAACGGTTAGCAATTTAATAGGTGTTTTATGTTTTATATCAATTTTATTTAGTGTTATTTCTTAACACTAAATAAATCGAAATGATGGGAGGGGGCGAAATGACAATTCAGTCTCATTCAGACACACAACCTCATCGCATACACGTCGCTCTGCACTTGTAAACTAAAAGACGTAGAGAATATATATTTGTTGTTTGCGCACAACAGCGTGCGTGCGGTGAGCTTGTGTGTTGCAAAGGAGCATTTGAACAGTATTTACAGGAAATTATTGTTAATATTAGACGAAATAATGTGGAAAAACGTGAGGACTTTGGTACTAGTAAATACATTTCGTGTTTATTTAATTATTACCAATGTGTGGTGTGAACGAAACCGTGTGATTTATTATATATCTACCTTGTCTTCACTTCGAGAGTCACGTTTCTATCCTATAATACATGCCACACATTTACTTAACAAGATTTACCCGTGGAAGCTATCTTTTATAAATACATATAGCGTAGATAGATAAATAGGAGCATGATTATTGAGCTCTATGTGATCGCAAGAATTTCACGATTCAGTGATAAATATTTGGAGGGTATTATGGTATAGTCTGTAGGTATCTGACGCACAGATTTAATCTATAGAGTTATGTACCATGACATGCTACATCTTTACAATGCATCATAGGAAGTACATTAATTAGTTTACTATGCGATAAACCAATTTATCTACGAATCGATGGATGTATCTGGGCAAGCCTTGCTGCTTGGAGTTTAGTACACATATTTCCAACCAGAGGGCGGAACCAGTAGCAATCTAACCACTTGCTGGAGCAGCGCAGACGTTTGACCGTATAAATTCCAACGTGTAAATTCGTTACTGTTTTTATCGGAGCAGTTAGTTAATTAGTATTCATATCCTAGAAAAGTAATTAAGCCACGTACTGACCCCCTTCATCGCACATTCTGTCGGTGTAGTTATTTTTATGAGAGCCCAATGTAATTAATAGAACAGCTGATGTATTTATAAGTAGACATGATTGCATAAAAATTTTTCTTCAGGTTCGTCCATTGGCGTGTCTGACCATCCATAGGTCTGACAAAAATTGATTGTTGGTTCAAACTTTAGCTGATCGTGTTGTAACTTGTCTGTACGCGTTACCGAGAAGGGACGAGTTTCATTAGCATAATTGCCAACTATACGCATCCTGACTGACCGTTGCAAGCCCATCTGAGTTTTACGCCATATGAAACTGTTATTACTACAGACATTTCCGCCACGTACTGACCCCCTTCGTCACACATTCTGTCGGTGTAGTTATTTTTATGAGAGCCCAATGTAAATCAATTATCATGTGAATTATAGATACATTGCAGATTTTAGTTACCAATTGGGATCGACTCAGCACACATATATTAGAGACAAACACCTACAGTACAGTACGTACGCAGGAGTGAGTGACATTCCCGTGGCATTTAGGTAAGCTTTCTATATTTTTTTCCATGTATGTATAGGTATAAGTCATAACTATTACAATTAAGATGACAAATAGGCTCACATGTGCATTTCAAGTTAGAAAACACATTTTACAGTATAACGTTTCTTCATGATTACTTGGTATAGTAAGTCTACTCTAAGTCAGTGTTGGTGAATAACAGTTCTACTGTCTAAGTGCTTCTGATAAATAATTTCAAATGGAATAAGTCACATAAGCGTGACCAACAAGATTAGAGATGTATGCACATATCATTATGTGCTAGAAATGTGATTCGGCTTGGATAGTCTTTGGGGACGATGATTCATGTGCCATCAATGCAGCCACGGACTGATGCTGATGCCTACAACACATGACAGTTTATTAGTAGTTTTATGTAGGCAAGCCTGCTACTTTAGGAAAACCAGCTAAAGTTACACTGCGAGAAAGAGTAAATATTTAATTTTCCCGTAGCAGTCAAGGTGTATTAATTCCTCTGGGTGCCGGTAATGCTTGTAAATAAATTGAGAAATAAATATTAATTAGTGATGATTTACAGCACATTATTTGCATTTAGGGGCTGCATTCCGTGCGATGAGAATGTACACATATGAATTATATATGGTGTATAATACTGATTCCCTTAAAAACTCTCTATGGCGGTGAACTGTCACATCTCTGTTTCATTTGCAAATATTCAAAAACGTGTAATAACTTTTATAGGCATAATTATATATGAAATATACATGAAGTAATGAATTTATGCTACAAAAATCTATATCTGCTGGTTATTCCCAATTCCAGCATGCAGTTTCAACTGGAAGCATCATTATAAAATTGATTTTATCAGTTTTTTATTTTATCATAAGTTTAATGTGCATTGCTGTGGTTTAATGGGCTTTATATATAACTATATGAATGAGCGCTATACTGTAAAAACAATGCAGTGTCGTACTTTGTGTAGGAATCCGTAATATACTGTAGAAACTACTAAATGTCATAGCGTGCTTGTAGAGAACTACAGGCTAGCATGTGCAGGCGGGCATATACTTGAGGCAAGCACCTTGTCCATGGGGGACGCAGTCCACAATATAATGGGCATTGTCCACAGGTGGTCCCTCACACACGCCTTTGTCAGCCACCAACATTGTATCGACCAACCATAGACACTCGCCTTCGAGAAAACCCACGAAGCTTTTTACCTGGGTTACGATAAATCTGGTAATCCGCGAGTCGCATTGTGGACCACCGGCCGATTGCTTTTTTTCCCTCTAAGTAATTTTTTACCTGTGACAGGGCCAGAGAATCGCTGTGGTGAACACCCTCTCCAGTCGATCGCTCGCATGACCGTTGCGGATTAAGTCTTCTCAGGCCTTTACTGCATCGCTAGAGGCTATGTTTAATTTTTTAGGTGCAGTGGCCCTGCGTGGGACATTCTCGGGTGACCCTGGTTATAGCCAGTGAGCATGTAAACCACCTAATTTCCCAGTTGCCTGTTGCCGGCAAAAAAATGTTACTACGGATACTAATATACAGTCAACATGTATATAAGGGGTACTCAACAGAAATGCCAGAAGTGACCATAAAGTTTACAGGCAGATTATGCTGTATAACTGCTGCTCAAGTGAAAAGCCGAAAGTGTCCTTTATAGACAGTTAATTGGCCGTTGTTTTGAGGTGGTTTCACTGCATAACCGTAAAGGTATAATTTATGCAAAAACTGTCCTTGATAGACAGATGTTGGTTAAAGCAGGGTTGACTGTATACGGATGTCTGATATCTGTTGGCAACTCATAACTCCGGCCCAGTCCACCAGTACATCTACTGTTATGTGACCAGGAGTGTATAATATTTTTTTCTATATCTATATGTGACCCGCTCCAGCATAATACGGACTAAGTCGCAAGTCATTGTTTTGAGTAATGAGAACGCACACATGTCAATGCTGAAAATGGCCTACCTGGACAAAAATGAGATTTTTTACAAAAATAAGTTCCTAAGTGCATATTTAATCCGGATATATAGGTTCAGATAACTCTAGATTATTATGGTCATTTTTAATTAAAAAAAGAAAAGAAAAAAAGCTGCATATTCTGGAATAAGTCGGTTTCCGATCTTCAAATTGCTGTAGATCGGTCAATTCTTTAGATATAGCCAAATATTATATATCATTTTAAAGGTAATTAAATGATCTATTCAGATATGCACATAACTCAATTTGTAGAATTTCCTACTTAATCCTGGTTTTGCTGGAGCTGGTCACATATATATAATAGATTAATATTATATCTATAATAATATCTATATCTCTATTTATGTATATAGTGTATAATCTCTCTATATATATAGTGTATAATCTCTCTCTCTCTCTCTCTCTCTATATATATATATATATATATATATAATATATGAATATTATAGCTATCTATTTATATAATATCTCTATATAATATATTATGCACTGCTGTTGTGATATTGCATGGGAAGCAGCTACCACGTGTCTAGGGGTTGTTGTCTTTATCTGGTAGTCATGTTCTAGAGGCTTCACTCAGCCAGAGATGAATATATATATGTGAGCTTCCGTACTTTCTCAGCTGCTCTTAATTCGGGCCACGCTGATCATTGCAGAAGCTGCTGTTTATAAACAAAGCTGTCCGGGTGGTCAAACCCAGCAATTCCATGCTGACCCTCTGCTGTTGCTGAAAAGCTGCACTTGCCTGTGGTGGCTTATGTAAATAAATAATATAAAACCTTGGTAAAAGTGCGCGTAAAAGCATCACCGAATCGCTACACTGCTAACAATGGTCGAAATAAATATAAAAACCTTGGTAAAAGCCCTCATAAACTCGCCGAATCGCTACACTGACAATGGCCGAGGCGCTAAAAAGCTGCACGTAAAAATGCTGTACATGCGGTGACTTTCTAGCTCGCATGGAAGGGCGCGTGGGTGGCATGTGTAGGCATGTCCCTGTGTAGGTGGGTGCTTATGTACGCGTATATAATGGCAGGCTCTATGTCCCGTGTAGCATGAAATTGCTGTCTCAAACCCTCGCATCACACCTCTGTTTAGCCTCTAGAACATGTCTCCCCTGATCAGTATTCTAGACATCACCTCGCGCTCTTCTCGCGTTAAAACTTAATTAACATTGATGAAAGTTTCGCTTCGCCGTAACTTTGCACGCTCGCTCACCATCAGTACAGCTGCGTTTTAACGCGATACATGCGGTGTTACTGTTACACTCTCGTGTATCAGTTCCTGTACTACTTATTCTAATAACTATTGACAAATCCCAGGCACACTGTCATGTGTAGCTGCTAATGCACTACTGTGTGTTTCATGAATTACTTATTCGGTGTTTCTATTTGTTCAGGTTCTAGAAGTAAGGAGCCTTCTCCCTCGGAGTGAGCTGTATAGACGAGTGTTTTGGCATAGGTAAGTCAAAATGATTGTGGAAGTCAATTTGCATGGCATTGTTCATTGCAGTATATTGTTCTATCGTTTGGCACTGAATTGCCCAAACCTCTTGTGTACATTGCATAATAGTCTAGGTATTGTGTATATATCTGTATGGCTACGCATGTATATCTGCGTGTACTTGTAAGAACATACAATCTGATTGCAGCTATATAAGTTGCTCTATCAATGTGCATACACGCTGTAAGCTCATTATTGCAGACTTGTGTGTACATGGGAATAGAGTCAGCAGACTGCGTCTACCCCAAGCGTCTGTGGGAATAAGTTTCCTTAGATGCTGCGAGACTGCATAAAAACTGGCTCATGTTCTTCGACTTGGTTTTTCATAAATCGTGTGCCAGAAGCGCTTACGTTATTGTACCGCGTATGTGTGCGTGCGTGCGTGCGTGCGTGAGTGCGTGTGAGAGAAAATAGGCGAACGTGTTTGTTTACGTTAGCGCTGAGCACGGGAGATACACGTAGTTACATGCGTAACTCGTGAATCTACATTTCACTGTTTAAACACGCTCAAGGCAGCAAACGGAATCCTTCTTTATCATGTTTCCATAATTGCGCGCATGTACATAAGATTCTCTCGCTCACACCCCTTATGCACTTATACATGTATATACACATATACATGTCACTCTGCCCCGGTCGGCTTTAATTCCTATTAGCCGACATTAAATGCTTACCCCGGCTTTGAATAAACGTCGAAACCTGTTTTCCTGGGGGCCGACTCTCATACGGATATATCGAATCGCATGAAGTCGTGCGCGGGTGGGGGGGGGGCACCCGCCTTCTCTCTACCGCCGCCTCGCCCACGAAAGTGAAAAGGAATTTCGTTCACGGGTAAATCCGCGCAAAATGTCGTCGCCGGGGATTTCTGTCGGCAGTTAATCCGGGGGTCCGCGTCGGCGGCGCTCGGCAGAACTGGTTTCGCGGCCGACGGTTTTTGTTGTTGTATCAAATTGGGAACAAGACGAGGTAGATCGGGGAGACTGCGTCGCTTTATGCCGACACAAAGCAGGTGTGTCAACAAGTTAAACAGCTGTATTATAGTCGAGAGCGAAAATGCTGTTTGCATGCGCGCGGTGAAGTTTGGTGGTGGTAGGCCCGGGAGGTGAAATGTAGGCAATTTTGTTTTGCGGGGTTGTGTCTTCGCAATCCGCATGCTATCGCTACAGAGATCTCCACCGTGACTCGATCATGACTTCTCGATTACAAAATATGTGTTTTGTAATTTTATCAAATCGGTCGAAGTCACGAAAGGAAGATGGCGGCTGTACGGAGGAGGGGGAGGAGGAAGGGGGTAAAAACATGGTGGCTGTGACGCCGGTAGTGATGTCACGATCATCGATTATACTCGATCATCGGTTGAACAGTGGCTCGAACCAAGCGCCTAGTGATGTCACGATCATCGATTATACTCGATCATCNACGCGAGGGGTAGAGGAGAGAAGCAAGAGTTCTCGGTAGGCAGAGAGCCCTATAACTATCAGTCAGTAACTGGTAGGGAGAGAATAGTCCTTGCCGCGTTTCACTATGCCACTATGCCACTCTCTATGGCTTCGTCTCTAATCGTTCGCTCTAGATTTTGATCAAGTGAAAAGTGATTATGTTGGCTCAGTTCAAGGTGTCGCGTGGCGGGGGGCACGCCGTTCGCAGCTGTTAGTTTCAGTAGGGCATAGACCAGCGATGATAGTATTGGCGTCCGCAGCAGGCTTGCAATGTGATAACAAGCAGCACCGCTGGCAGCCGCGATCTGAGCACGTACTATACCCCTCCCCCCCTCGACCGCCGCAATCGTCAGCGAAAGTCTTAAGCCGGGGCCGGTTCTAGCTCAGTATACATAAGACCTGGGTAGCTGCATGGGGAGCCACAAAGTCTCTTGACCTACAATGAGCGCATACAAAGAGTTGAAGTCAGTTGATTGCCTGTAGCCGGCTGATATTTTCGGCAAGACAGTGCGGGTTTCTCTTGTCTGTCGAATGGAATGGATGGATTGATTGTCTCCGTAGGTAATCTGGTAAGCTGTAACGGCGTGAATTAGCATTAGCAACATGCATGGCGCGTCTGGCTGGCTCTTAGGTGATAGCAATGAGGTTTCACTGGGTGTCCTTGCGTTTCTATAGTTGGGGGAATACAGGCGAGAGAGAACAGGGGGAGCGAGAAGCGAGAGGCGAAAATGGGGTAGAGAAAGGAAGAAATGGAGTGGGTGGAAGGGGACAGAAACAGGGAGAGTGAGGGGAGAGAAACAGGGACAGAAAAGGCAGGAGAAGAGGTAGAGAAAGAAAGAAATGAAGAGAAGAGGAGAGAAACAGGGAGAGAGAATGGTCAGAGAGAGGGCAGAGAAAGGAAAGAACGGAGAGAGAGTGGGGGGGGGAGACATGAGGATGATGAATTGCAGTGGAGGGAGAAGGGCGCGAAGAAAGTTGAAGAAAATTAGAGAGGATTTAATATCGAGAGGAGTGAGAGAAGGTTGGAGAGATGAGAGAGCGAGAGAACAGGACTAGAGAGAGAGGAGGAGAGAGAGGAGAGAGAGAGAAGAACAGAGAGAGCGAGAGCGAGAAAGCGAGAGAGAGACAGAGAGAAACAGAGAGACAGGAGAGAGAGAGAAGAGAGAGAGAGAGAGAGAGAGGCAAGACAAGAGTGCTAGTGTAAGCGCTGATAAGTACCGCTAAAGCTCATAGTAAATTTGCACACGACTACCTTGCGTGTGATCGCTGGCGATCTCTGTGTGTCGGCTCAGCTTTGTAGCGTGGTATGGTTACTAATGCTACATGGTATATGTTGTTGTGGCGATGGTTGTCGGTTCCCTGCCGCTGCATCGCATGCTGCTGGCTGCTGTGCGAGATGGCTGCTGGTGCTTGGCTGCCTGCTGCGGCTGGCTGTGGGCTGATGGGCTTCTGCTAGGTGTGGTGGTGGTGGCTGCTGATGGCTAGTGAGTGGTGGTTGTGGTAAAGTGGATGTGGCGGTGGTGGCGTGGTGATGAGCTGCGGGCGCTGCTGGGCTACTACTACGACTGCTGCTACTGCTGCGCTGCTGCTGTGCTACCTACTACTACGGGCTGCTACTGCTGCTGGCTGGACTGGGCTAGCTACATGCTGCTGCTACTACAATCGTACTTGCTGCTACTGGCTGGCTGCTGCTGCTTACTCACGTGCTTACTATGCTAGCTAGCTACTGGGCTCGCACTGCTGCTGGCTGCTGCTGGCGGCATGGCTGGCGTGCTGCAGCTGTGCGGCTGTCTGAATGGCTGATCTGTGGGCTTGCTGGGCTGGTGGTTAGTGTGATGGTGATGGTTGTGCTTGCTGACGGCTAAGTGGTTGTTGTGGAGTGGTGGGCAGGTTGTGAAGGATGCTGCTGCGGAGCGACTACACTACTACTACGGCTCGGCTGCTGCTGCTGCCTGCTGCGTGCTGCGGCGCTGCCTGCTGCTGTCATGCTGGCGCTGTTGCTGCTGCCTTGTTGCTGCTACTGCTGCTATGTGAGTATGAGGGATACTCTCTAACTATTCACGCAAACGCTATACACGGCAATATATTACGTTGCATCATAGTAGTGCGAGAATACGACCCCGACACACGAGCGAACGACGTAGTCGGACGTATAGGGGAAAATTCGCTGAAAGGCTATGCACACTATACACGGCAGTCAAGCCGGTTAACTATCCCACCCACCGAGGTCATTTCCAGCAACCAAGCAGTGCCTACGCCTTAAATGCATTTGAAATACTTCGCGGACGAGAGATGGAATGTTTAGTTTACATTCGATAAATTCGGCGGCGTAGAATATAAACATGTCCCGTGCGTGCGCCGCCGGCCGCCGCCGCCGCCGGCCGCCGCGCGGGTCGTTAGAAACGGCCGTGAATAGGCATTATACTGGGCGCTAGGTCAAATGCGCGTGTGTGCGTAGTGTGACGTGTGTGTGGTGCGTGTGTGTGTGCGTGTGTTGTGTGTGGTGTGTGTTTGTGTGTGTGTGGTGTTGTGTGTGTGTGTGGTGTTGTGTGTGTGTGTGTTTATGTGTGTAGTATATGTGGTATGTGGCGAGTGTGTGTGCTCAGTGTGCGCGTGGTGTGTGTGTCGCGTGTGTGTGCGTGTGGTGGTGTGTGTGTGTGTGTTGTGTGTGTGTGTGTGTGTGTGTGTGGTGTTGTATCGTCGTGTGTATATGTGTTATGTGTGCGAGTGTGTGTACGTGAGTGTGTGTGTGTGTGTGTGTGTGTGTGTGTGTGTGTGTGGTGTGTGTGTGTGTATGCGCGAGTGTGTGTGTGTTGTGGTGTAGGGTGTGTAGTGTGTGTGTGTAGTGTGTGTTGTGTGTGTGTGTGTGTGTGTGGGTAGTGTGTGTGTGTGTGTGTGGTGGTGTGTGTTGTGTGTGTGTATGTGGTAGTGTTGTGGTGCGTGTGCGAGTGTGCTGCGCGCCCGCTCGTTGGCCATTGCTGCTGCCGCTTGCCGCTGCTACGGTTGCCGCGCCTGCCAGCTGCTAGCCAGGTTGCTAGGCCGGGCCCGCTGCCGTCGTTGACGCCGGCAGTGCCGCTGCTACCGTTGCCGCCGCTGCCGAGCTGCTTACTGTTGCGCCGGCTTCGTTGCGCCGCCGGACTGCGCTAGCTAGCCGCTTGCCGCTGCGCGGCTCGCTACCGTTGCCGCTGCTACGGCCCGTTGCCCACAGTTCCCGGCGCTACCTGTTGCGCTGCTACCGTTGCCGCTGCGACCTTGTTGCCGTCCGCTGCCGCTGCATACGTGTGCCGCTCGCCGCTGCTACTCGTGGGGCCGCCGCGCGGCTTCGGCCTACCGTTGCGCCGCTGTCGTTGCGGCGCGCTGCCGCCGGTACTGCGTACCGCGTGTGGCCGCCCGCTGCCGCATGCTACGAGTTGCCTGCGGCTACTCGTTGCGCCGCTGCCTGCTTGCTACCGTTGCCGCCGTTAGCCGCTGCTACCTAGTGGCCGGCGCTACCGTTGCCGCCGTGGCCGCTCTGACGTTGCCCATGC